CCTCGTGAAGTTTCCTTTTCAGTCTACTCCAGTATGCCTCAATGGCATCGGTGTGCTGTGCGGTGGTAGGGCCCTTGAAGTTCTTTGAGTGTTTAACAGAGAAATGTAGATAACCTTCTGGGAAGACGATTATGCGTCTTCCACTCGTCCGTTACCACTATACTGCCTTTGGCGACCAATTTTATAATAATGGAACGGAGAGTGGGCCAACTTCGATCATTCACCTGTTCAAATAAGGCTTTCTGTTGGCTAATGTCGTACATCCCGACCAGCCAACACCCATAAAACCCCTGTTACCACCTGTCCCGTAAGACAGGCTGCTTTGGTTAGGCGGATTTTTTTGGGTGCCATCTCCATATGGTTACCCTATTTTCAGAGTAAAAACCTATTACCAGTATTGTCTTCTAAGTTTGGATGCGACTCATATATTACGATTACCTGATGTGATTAAAAACTGGTTAAACTACTTGAGAGCGCGATGCAGTTGTAAAAGGTACCATAAAATGATATGTACCTGATTATACCAATTTAAATAATTCGGACCAAGCTCCATGGTCAATCAAAACAGTCACGTTCTCAGCGATGCAAAGGATTTTATGTCTATTAGTATTTAAAAATTATCGAAGCGGAAGTTATTGTGTAGCTTGAAAATTTGCATGAGTTTATAATATAGTTAAGAATACTTACGTAGTCTGCTTTCTGTTTCTTATCCAAAGACAGTTGAATGCCATTCTTTCATTTTTACTCTCAACACTCAATGTAGCCCCGTCTTATCTGGCGTCAGATTTGGATATTTAGGACTTGCAAACATACCTCTAGACTATTTAATCCTTCGTATGGACTTTGGGGGAGTGGTAATTTATCTTTTCCAATACGGCAGATTTTTTGGAAATTTCCCAAAATTCATACCTTCTAACCTTTGTCCGACGTTAGCATGTTAATGTCACTATTTTTGAGGAACACCGCACTAGGTAGGCTGATTTGATGTCTCTGCTCTTAAATAAAAAGTTCCCTAACCGAAGTTTTTCCTATGTGCTGTTTATTTTCATAAGCGCCCACAACTGCCATAATAAACGGAAATTTAAGATGTATGCGGAATGCTCGCCGATGAGGGAGAACACTGGCCTGTTGCAAGATTAGTGAGACCCATTGGTATGTCCGATGAAAACATTTGCGGAAGTCACTCATCAGGGCTCTTTATGCAACGTGTTATAGCCTTCTAAAGCACTAAATTTATTAAAGACTAACAATATCGAACAAGCCAGTAGTTTTGAATCATTTGAATGGAAAATGATGCCTGTGTGGTGGTATGCTCTAATAAAATACTCAGCACTTTAGGGCAGGAGTATTTCCGAGAAACGCCACCGCAGCATATGTAAAGTGTTTCAATTTTCCCGATGCAAAGGACTTTAAGCATATCGCTCACCGCCATTAAACCCGTCCGAAGCTTAACATTTATTTTCCTGCCTCAATACAGCCTAGCTATTTCTAACTCTAACAAGTCCAATGGTTTCACTAAGTATAATATTATGTGTGCCTCTATGTGCTTGCTGCTTTTTTCCGACAGACGCAATTCATTTGACTTTCTTCTAAAACATACAGAACAAACTTTACGGTTCGCTATATTCAGCTACAGAGTTTGCTTTCTATTGGTGCGGTTAAACACTATTCAAGTTTCGCCTTTCATATTAACTTTACGTACCAACGTCTCTAACTCTAACTAGAGTATCTAAAAATAAGATAACTAGATGGCCGCAATCAAGGCCGTGGTTTTCGTTACAGTTTGTAGAAGTGAACGATCGGGCGACTTTACAGAGACACAGTATATCAGTATGTTCTTTACTATTAGTTTTGGAGTATAAGCTTCTTCTCAGACTTATTGATTCTACGTTTCCTGTCACACTAGAGAACAAATTCCTTTTAAGTTTGAACAGAGATGTGGGTTTCTTGAATTTATCCCGTTCTTGCAATTTTCGCATAATGCAGCGTCTATTTTGTACGCCAAAGCATAGCCTGTTTCACCGCAATATATGTGTGTTGACACCAGGATCTGTGCGTTGGTTATAACGGCTTTTGAAGCTACTGTCGCACGACCAAACTCCTTTATGAATAGAAATCAACTGAAAATGTTGGAACGAGAGGAGAAGAACAGGCCGTACGGTAAGAAGTGCCCATAATCGGAGCCACTTTCTACTGCAATACACAGCCTGTTTTTTTCTGATGACAAGGCAGTACTTTCTACCAAAATGGAAGACGACAATTTTTCCTACTATTTCAAAACCCACTTTGCCTGCAACACACCAAAAAGGAAATATTGCAGTTTCTCTCTGTCATTTATTTGGATTCTTATTGGACCGCTACTTGCTGCATAACTGGACGTTTACCTTAAATTTAGGAGTTCATGTCACTGTAATCTACAGCGTTTCTTTCTTACAGATACGCAAGCAATAAGATTTGTTCTTTTGCCGGCCGAACAAAGTTAGAAATTAACTTAATTCAAATTGTTTTTGGACTGTTTTCAAATCCTCTCCTAGCACAATAACTTTCTGCCATGACACGGCGGACCCATTTTGCTGACGCTTTAATTGGTCTTTCCTTAATATGACTGGTACAGTTTTGGTGGTTTTGCAGAGGCTATGTGGCAGTTCGATGTGTCACTGCTTTCCAACTATTAATGATTTTCCCATTGTGCCTTTTTGGGCATATAGTTGTGAACCGACGAATTTTAGTCTGTTACGTTGACAAAGCAATGAAGAGATAATACACGGCTTGCCCGCGGGACATCATGAAGTTCATCATTCGTCACAACGAGGAATAAGTCCAAATTGGTTTTATTTGAGTATCTCTGGCCTTACACTGTTTTCCACGAAGCGCTGGATGATTTTCGTCCGTAAGAGTCGAGTTCTGGATTGGCAATGGTCTTTACATCAGCCTTTTATGCCTCACCAACCCCTCCGACAGATACTGGTTACGGGACGCTCTACGTGTCCGATTCCACGGGCACCGTTTTCTCGGAATCCCTGAGACGTCATCTTTATCCAAATCATTCGCCAGTGACCGACTTCTTCCGCGTAGCCTCGATGCGTGGCACTTTTCTGGCCACTCAGCTCAATCCCGACAGCACTCTGCGTACGGTTATTACCCACGACCGTGGCGCGACCTGGAAACCGCTGCCCATTCCTGAGAACATGGAACAACAATGTGGCGGTGGCGGGAACCAAAGCAGTACTGGAACCTCTTTCAACCCTGTGGGCGAAGACGCCAACTCGCAACGCTTTCAGTCACCCGCTTCCCCACTCTCCGTAAGCAGTTCGACTGACGCCGCCTCAGCTCAGAATGGTAGCTCCACCTCCCCTGAGAAGGGCGCATCCCCAGGATACAAAAAAGTGAGTGCGAAATACTTCCAGCCTAACATTTTTCGGGTGTCAAAAAAAATTATTCAGTCTGCTATCTTAGTGCTGAAGGATTACTAAGATAAAGGGTGACAGTGTTCATCGATATAAGCAGATTTGGCATCCGGTATGATAGTGGTTTATACCGTACTCCGGTACTAGCTGAAAGTCAATACGCGTGTTCTGCCGATGTTTCTGCTGTTGTATAACGCAAGTGGGAGATATCCGACCCCTCTGTGTCCCCAGCGTTCCATATGTTAGCTTATGGCACGTGAATTCTAAAGAAATATCGACTCAATAAGGTCAGCAATAGTTAAGTACAGGATTGTGATTCAAGTGCCTCGGACATTACCCTTTTGGTCAGATCCGAAATTCCAATGAGTAGTAAAATTAAATTCAGCGACTTAACTCTATAGTGTGCACTGTACAAACGCGTATTACCACTAGTAGTATAATTTCAAATGACAGTGGTTTATACCGTACGGTATAAACTTAAAAATTATTAGTTTGATTTTTATGTAGTGGTGGAGGGGCGCTCACCGATCGTGCTACGGAACTCACTGGTTCAGTTGTGCCTTAAAGCTCTCTCTGGAGCCCAACCAGCAGTCGCAAGGGGGCGTGTAATACAGGCAGAATAACATTACCGACAAAGAGAAGGGCGACTGGAATGGGCATTTATGTCTTATTAGCCGTCGTCAGCTAGTCATACCCGGTCCAGAAGTGTGAAACACCTGCGGTTCGCGCCACTGTGCGGCTGCTGGTTGGGCTCGAGAGAGAGAGAGAGACGCCTAAGGCGCAACGGACTAGTGAGTTCCGTACCACGATCGGTGAACGCCCCTCTACCATCGTATATTCCCGATCGCAACCGACAGGACGACGAGCCTTTTGCTCAGTGGTTAAGGGGTTGGGCCTCTAAAAAACAGACCGCTGAATGGATCCCAGGTGTTGCACACCTCAGGGTTGGGTATGGCTGACTGATGACAGTTAAGGAATCAGAAATGGCCATCCAAGCCTCCCTTGTCTTTAACTGTAATGCTTTTCCGCATATATCTATGATGAAGGGACGCTGAATATCTCCAGTTGCTCTTTTCCTTGTCAGTAGTCTTATTGTGCCCACTCATACGTATATGTATATCGGAAAAATGCCATCCTTAGAAATTTACTTATAAATAGGCAATACTCTGGGAACAAAATAATGTCTAATGCAAAAAGTTTCGAGGCTGGTTCCCCTACGCATCGTCATACTTATGAGACATTTACAAAAACTATTGACCATTCAAATGTGTGTAAGAAGTGTTTCTATGGTTGGCCGAAGTCCGCGTCAGTACGCGTTAATGCTGCTGCCAAGACGCTGGCCTATGACTGAGACGGACGCGCTATCGAGTCAAAGGCTTAGTAACAAAACGGATCCTGGCAAACATCTCAGTTTTGCCGTACGCATGTATGGGGTACAGTTGGCTAGCGACAGTAAATAGATCGAAAACTTTCGTCCTTGTCACTTTTTCCCTTGTAGTCATCATTTATCCAGCATACGGTAAATGACAAAATTTCTACAAAGTTAGATGACCACGTAAGCATTTTTCGAGCGCAGAGGAGGACGCACACTCCTGCATGAGCGGTACAAATTCATAAGCTGTTTTCCACCACACCTTTTATTTGCACAAACTTTTAGCAGAATACTTCTTTACTTGTCATGGTGATGGCACACATGATCAACTCATGGTCCATAATACAGGACCGTATTAAGTATCTTTGCTGTACCATAATTATGAACTCATAGCTGCGGTTAAGCTTCTTCCTGATCCACCAGAGTCGACTTGTGTTCACTGCGTCGGAGCTCTAGTAAGATCAGCAAAAGTAGGGTAGAAAATAATGCACTCTTTTTGATATTTCTCCCTTAACTGTGTTACCACAGAGGTCATGTCGATGCTTGCGCCGTCTTTCAAGAACCCATATTGAGTCTCTAATGTCTGTCCCAGTCCCAGGTACAAGGTCGTGCAACTTAACGAAAAAGACCATATGCCATTTGTACAAGAATATTTCTAAGTAGTATTCACTGCCTGGTCGAGTTTAGTTCTGTTTTCTGAAGTGCAAGGCAGTGTCCTCTTGAAGCCCTGTATCCCCACCTTAAAAGGTGGGTATTTGTCGAGGTTGATAGCCACCGTTATTATACGCAGTCGGACAAAATGTGGAGCCCCCAGTTGTCTGTCGAGATTGCCTAGCGTGTGCACATAATAATCTACGCCTAAAATTAGGGTCGTGACACGCGGCATTCGTGGTGATTAACTGGGTTGACTGCAGTTCCTGTGCGGCATAACTATTGGTTCGAAGTCAGCATGTGATCCGACAGGGAAAGTATAGTGGCTGCTCGGGGTGCTAAAGACAGATAGCTCAAAGCTTGGGTTTACAACTGTTTGGGGAATTCCGAAACTACAGGTAATTATCAGTGAATGCCGGAAAGCGGTTGCCCAAAGGTAATGACGAAAGAGGATAGGAGGTTACTGGATACGTTCTTTTTGGTAGACTTGGATACTTTCCACTTTCTAGAAGGAGAAGAAGAAGAAGAAGAAGAAGAAGGAGGAGGAGAAGAAGAAGAAGAAGAAGAAGAAGAAGAAGGAGGAGGAGGAGGAGAAGAAGAAGAAGAAGAAGAAGAAGAAGAAGAAGAAGAAGAAGAAAAATGGGATTCAAACATCTGCCTATACTCTAAAAAGAGTTTTGAAAAAAAATACGGTTTAAAACGGGAAGACCGCTTGAATTATCATGATTAAGTAGAAATCGTAGTAAGGATCGGGTGAAGGACCCCCAGCATCTGTGGCATAAAAAGAATACGTACTATACTTATTAAATTGGGTTTTAGTCCGACACGATTATTTCGGTTTGGTGTTTCATCGTACAAGGTTGGGTCGTCTGTTTTAGACGGTTTAGTGCATTATCTACACTGACCTCAGCTCAGAGAGTTGAGAAAGCGATCATTGTGGACAGTCTGATGGATAATCTATAATGACCTCAGCTCAGAGAGTTCAGAAGCGTGCGTTGTAGACAGCTAATGTTTATTTTTTAATTGTCCTGCTAATTTTGGTTGCTATACGTCAATGCATTAAAATTTTTCCGCCCGAAAAACGGATTAACCAACTATCTATACTTATTTTGCCATTCCTCTAGGCATGCGCAGGTCCGGCCGGAAAACCTCTCTTACCACTTTTTTCCGTAAGACAGGTACCTTTCATAGATATTTTGGAAATTTTGAATAATTCATATTAACCCAACTGTAGGCGTTGGGTTGTACTAAAGCCTCCCCTTACTGCGTGGGTTCGAATCCCATCGAGGCTTCGAGTTTTTCACAGTTGGGTCAATATGAACTATTCAAAATCTGCCAAAATATCTATGAATTACGTGAGCATGGTAGTCATCTGGTGGATTCTAGGTGAATTACTTAGGAAATCCAGCTTGGACAGTCAACATACTGTACCAGATTTAGTACATTCCAGACGTTGCAGTAGTTTGGGCGGGTAACTTGACCCTAATGTGATTAAACTCGCGTATTCCGGCGGGGCCTCGTAGCTCAAGTGGTTAGAGCGTTGGCTGTACTAAAGCCTTTCTCTTACTGCGTAGGTTCGAATCCCACCGAGGCGCCGAGTTTTTCACAGTTGGGTTACTATGAACAGGGACCTTTAGCTGGTTGTGTGTTTGGGGTCCTTCACTCGATCGTAAACAAATTCACATGGACTGGGCTGTGTGACAGTGTATGTGACCCTTTCCTCAACTAAGCAAAGTCAGAAGAGCATTTGGCGATCTTACGCGTGCTTTCGATAAATTCTCATCGGGCCTGTACATTTACATGGGAACGAGGTACAAACTGAACGTATGGGTGATAAGTGCAATCGATTACGGTTCGCCCTTTCATACAAACGGGGTATGTGAATAGACTGGTGGGAGGGGGGAGAGGGGAGGAGGCTGTCAGTGGCAGTGAGGGTTGGACAGAGCGGTGTCACAAGGAGGGGGAGGGAAGGGAGTGGGGACGCGGAGACCTGCATACGCTAAATCGATCCTGGCCCACGGTAGACGCAGAGCGTGCAAGAGGTTCTTCTGCGCGCACAGGACCGGCCTCTGTAGCCCGATGGCAGTTGCCTCCGCTGTTGCTCGTACGCGCTGACCCAGTGGCTTAGGGTAGTTAAGTGGGACCCTGTAAATCACACGGAAGGCTTCGTTGGGATCCACACGGTGCCAAGAATCAACCATGTGTGCGAGGATAGAGCTGTGTATGCTCATCACCCTTCCTCAGCCATACCGGCGAGTTTTCTCGTATTCTTGCGGATAGGCGCCGACTCGTACGACCAATGTGGCCTGCTCACAGGAACAAGCACAGGAGTAAATGCACATGAAAGTGGTCTGAGCTGGTAGCCTATCCTTTCCTTCCCCACGTAAGACGTGGTTGGTCAAAGCAATACTTGAACTCCTGCTGCTGGGAAGGTCCGCAAACGGCTTGATTAAGGCGCCTTTTCAGCTCACTCGCGCATCCCCTTAAAAGGGGACTTTGAGGAACAGAGTTTTCTGAACGGGCATGTTCTGTAACCTGATCGGTGAGCGCCCATCTGTCATAATTGATATTCCCGATCACAACCGACAGGACAACGGGCCCGTGGCTCAATGGTAGAGCGTTAAACTCCATGACCAAAGATCCCGGGTTCGAATCTCAAGTGATCCACACTTGGGGTTGGGTATGGCTGGCTGATGACGGCTAATAAGCCAGAAATGGCCATTCCGGTCTCCCTTGTCTTTGTCGGTATCACCTTATCAACAGAGTTTTCTTTTCTGCTGTCGGTACGATGAGTTTTGCCAGTCGTTCGACAAGATTCCTTACAATAAATCTGCCAGAAACAAAGTCACGGTGAATCACGGTTTTGATCTAGAGGGATTCACAGATGAACTTGGGTTTGGAGATCGGTGGATTAACGAAACTGCAGCGGAATGACTACACTGAGTAGAAAAAAGGAGACTGGTCGAGCATCGGAAACATTTGTTCATTTTCCTCTGGTTCAGAATTCGTGC